GGTGAACCGGCCATTCCTGAGAAATGATACGCAACATATATTAGATCTGTAGCCCAAAACATGATCTATTATGTAAGCAAACACATGCAAATTCAAATGTTAAAATACTCCACTTTTAAATGTACCCAAAAGTTAGTCTGAGCCCTTATAATCTAGATTTTAGAGCATTTCAGTTATTCGTTTTTGTGAACTTGACTGATTTTTTTAAAGAGCCTGCACACAAATGCAGTTTATGAATGAATTATTACTGCACAGTTAATGGCTGTAAATACTCTATAGAGTTACAGAAAAGAGCAGCTGTCCTCATGAGGAGAACCTCCCTGTGCACTGCAGTGTAATGAATGAGACGGAGGTCAGTTTCATCTAGCCCTTAATGAAACACAAACAGAAGGGCAAATTCTTCACATTCCCACCATAGGGAGAGCGGCCCACTCGTTGAGTCACAGAGACACTGATGCTGATACAGTTTTGGTGTTGTTGGTACATTAGAAACCAACAAGTGACTGGATTACAGACAGTTCTAGGGTAAACTGAATGTGCTCCATGTTTCCTGAAACTGGAGAGGCATTACTATATTCAATCAAGTGGGGTTCATTTTCCATGTAGAATGCACTTCTATAGTAATTAATAGGTGTTTCTTCAACCGGTATTTTAATGTTTTGTTTCTTAAAACAAATATCAACCTTTGTCACATTTAAACTATCCAGAAAACTTTTTTACCAGACTTCCATTTATTTTTGTTACTTTTCAAAAGCCTTTTATGTCTAGATTTTGGCAGTTTACCCTTGTAACAGTCCTTTAGTTTTTAAAATGTGAAAATCCATCATAAACTATAACCTATCATGATGGGTGGAATAAACAATCCCTTTCAATATGAAAAATATTCACATAAATGTTTGTATTGTTACATATTGGTGTGGTTATGACATAAACGTTTCCACCACAATCAACAATATTGCCACTATAATAAAGGTTTTCAAAAGTCACTGTACCTTTTAACATTCTTGAGATGAATATCATTTGTGAACAGTATTTTTATAGTGTGCTATTTCCTATCAAGCTATAATTTTATTTCAAAATTGTTTTGCATCAATCACATTTCCGTCACTGCAACTGCAATTACAGAATGTTATTAAACACAATGCATATTTTAAGGTGTGCTGGAAATGACTTCGTGGTGGAAATGTTTATGACATTTTAGAAAATGACAGAATTCTCAAGAGAGAGTTTACAGGTTCCAAATCTACCCATAACTGAAGAAACACCCAAATACACAATGTCACTATAGGGCATGTTTCTAAGCTTTGTATTCTTTGCAAAGATTTTTTTACTATTTCAGGCATAGTAACACAAATCAAAGCTTAAATTTTGGTCTGTTCAGTATGGACTAATGTTAGGTTCTTATATAGTGTTTTTGTCCTTCTCTGAGCTTTATCTTGAAATTCTGACTTTTTAAAACCGGAATTGTGACTTTTTCTCATCACAATTTTTTCACATTTTTAAAAAACTTTTTAAATTCTGTGGTGGAAAAAAATTTCAATAGGATCTAAATGTTTCTTTAAACATTAAATCAAATGTGTATAATTTATAGATATATTGTTTTGGCCTCTTACCAGGCAGTGCAATCTTATTCAGAAGAGATTTCTGCACTGGGACTGGAGGAAGATCCTCAAGCACTTCCACAAAGTTGAGGGGGAAAATACCAACATGGCCATTCACTTCCCCACGAGCCCACTCCTCTCCCACATATTCTTTAAGCCGAATCACATCACCTTCAGAGAATGAGAGCTCATCACTCTGCTCTCCCTCAAAGTCAAACCTCGCAACACACCTTGGGCCTCTGAAGAAAATGCAGGGATATAAAATATTAGTCACTGTCATGTAATCTGGTTCCTAGTACTTTTGTCAATCTATCATTGCAGTACATCAGATTTTAAAAGAAAAAGTTAATTTAATTTGTGTTTGAGCTTTTACAGTCCAATCTTGTGAGGGTGACTTACCTCACAGGATCAGGAGATGGTTTGGATTTCCATTCATTGCTGGATGCTGGCGCAGATGTAACAGGCTTGTTCTGGAGAGAAAAAAAGATTATTTGGTAATGGCAGAGATTAATCAGTTTTATGATCCCCGAATATACATGCTTAACTTTCCGGAAATGTTCACGTCAACCTCAGTATGTAAATAATATGAGCTGAGATTTTTGAAACCCTGTTAACAAAATTTGAGACATGTATAAATAATTATTTGCAACTTGCAATTTGTGTGATCTTGTAATTTCCTTGATTGAAATATTAACTATACATCAATACTAATTACATACAATTTGTAAGATAAAAAAATGTAAAAAACTTTAGTTTTACTATATCGGTAAAA